TAGCTTTAAGTGTAAAGATTATTTTTCTTAAATTCCCTGGTGCTCACTTACAGCAATAGTTCAGATAGACTCACAATGCAGGATTGATTACAGGGATCTAGTAACAATGTTATAACTCGATTACTGATATATACTTAAACCAAGCAAGCATGATGAAATATTCCTTGTAATTTGTTTCATGCATGTAATAGTTGCATAAAAGTCTTGTTGAATCAAGTATCTATCATTGTTATTCTTATTAACATGATTTTTGGCACAAAGATTATAACTCCATGAATCATTATTACTCTACAGATCAACAAATACCACTGAAGGCCAATTTCTCAGAAATCATTTTAGTTTTTTTTCAAAGAACTCCTCTGCTATGCTACCATATGCTCACATACAAACAATACAAATGTAGATTATGTTTCGAATATACTCCTAAACACCTGGTTAAGGATTTCAGAAAGGCCAATTTTTCATATCTGGAAATTTTTAAAAATTTGTTAAAACGCAATCTATTCTTATTTACTTATTCATACCGTAAAAAAAACGGGTCTAGATACAAATCAACGGGCTTCTTGTAATAAAGACATATTATTCAACATTGATAGACTGATGGATAGACATACATGGCGTTATCTATATTTATCCATACTAACTTCATTCAATGCATGGCTGACCTGGGAAGTTTCTTCAATTTTTAATTTTTTATAATTTTGATGATTCCTGAAAGTTCCAGTTTTGCAAAACAACTCAAAAAAAACATTTTCAGTGGACTTGACGTGAGTATTTGATTTTATTACTCAGAATTGAGGACTAACAGCTAACCATTACACTGGCAATAATAACTAGATTTGTAAATTGAACAAAGTTCAATTTAAGACTCCAGATTGATTTACTTGAGTAAAGAGCTGAGTAAGTAACTGAGTAGGAAGCTGAGTAAGTAGATGATTAAGTAATTGAGTAAGTAGCTGAGTAGGTAGCTGAGCAGGTAGCTGAGTAAGTAGCTGAGTAGGTAGCGGAGTAAGTAGCTGAGTAGGTAGCTGAGTAGGTAGCTAAGTAGGTAGCCGAGTAGGTAAGTAGGTAGGTAAGTAGGAATTTTTGACCGGAAGTCAGATTGAAATTTGGTTTGCAGATTTGGATTCCTGAGAAAATTCTACCCTTAATTCATAACTCATTTTATTTTGACCTACTTTACGGACACCATATCTCAAAAGTGGGTCAAAATACTCTCTGACGGCAAAAGGCTAACACTATAAGCACACTGTTTGCTACCTGTATACAAAATTTTGAAGCAAATCCTAAAAGTGTAGTGCCAGAATCGCAAAAATAAGGAAAAACTATGAATTTGACCTAGATTTTGACCTAGGCATTTTGGTGTCCAAATATTGAAACTAGGTAGCTTTTGAGGTCCCCTTCTTTTATAGGAATTCATTATCTTAAGCTGTACTCAATCTATATCTCGTATTTTACACTTCAAAAAAATCTTTTTTCCTTGACTTTCTATCAGGATAACATCAGATCGATTTTTCTCGAAATTTCAAAACGCCATAACTTTCAAACCGGAAGTCGGATCGAAATTTGATTTAAAGATTCGGATTCCTGACAAAATTCTACCCCTTATTCATAACTCATACGTTAAATTTGGCGAATTTTTATTTTGACCTACTTTTTGGACACGCCATAACTTTGGAACCGGAAGTCGGATCGAAATTTGATTTGCAGATTCGGATTCCTGAGAAAATTCTACTCTTAATTCATAACTCATATGTAAAATTTGGAGAGTTTTTTATTTTGACCTACTTTTCGGACACCATATCTCAAAAGTGGGTCAAAATACTCTTTGACGGCAAAAGGCTTACACTATTAGCCCACTCTTTGCTACCTGTATACAAAATTTTGAAGCAAATCCTAAAAGTGTAGTGCCAGAATCGCAAAAATAAGGAAAAACTATGAATTTGACCTAGATTTTGACCTAGGCATTTTGGTGTCCAAATATTGAAACTAAGTAGCTTTTGAGGTCCCCTTCTTTTATAGGAATTCCTTATCTTAAGCTGTACTCAATCGATATCTCGTATTTTACACTTCAAAAAAATCTTTTTTCCTTGACTTTCTATCAGGATATCAACAGATCGATTTTTCTCAAAATTTTCAAAACGCCATAACTTTCGAACCGGATGTCGGATCGGAATTTGGTTTGCAGATTCAGATTCCTGAGAAAATTCTACACTTATTTCATAGCTCATATGTTAAATTTGGTTAACTTTTTAGTTTGACCTACATTTCGGACACCATATCTCAAAAGTGGGTCAAAATACTTTCTGACGGCAAAAGGCTATCACTATAAGCACACTCTTTGCTACCTGTATACAAAATTTTGAAGCAAATCATTTAAGTGTAGTGTCAGAATCGTAAAAATAAGAAAATGCTATAAATTTGACCTAGATTTTGACCTAGGCATTTTGCTGTCCAAATTTTAAAGCTAGATAGCCTTCGAGGTCCCCTTCTTTTATAGGCTTTCATTATGTTAAGCTGTACTCAGTCTATATCTCGTATTTTACACTTCGAAGAAGTCTTTTTCCCCATTGACTTAACATGGGGCACCAAATTTAGCGATTTTGAGATTTCAAAATGCTATAACTTCTAAACCGGTAGTCGGATCGAAATTTTGTTTGCAGATTCGGATTCCTGAGATAATTCTACACTTATTTGATAATTCACACGTTGAATTTGGAGAACTTTTCATGTTCTGACCTACTTTTCGGACGTCATTTCTCAAAATCGGTAAAAGTAATCAAAAAACGATTTGCCTTACGGAATTAGCTATTTTTCTAAGGAACATGATGAAAAAAACCCGGAGCAAAAATACCGAAGGACGACTGAGAAAACTTGTAAAATAGTGAAAACCCACGATTTGACCTAGTTCTTGACCTTTGACCTAGATAAACATTTGACCTAATTTCCCAGAAACTAGGTTTCATTACCTAGTTGACTATGTTAGCAGATTTAAGTCAGTTCTTCTAGTTGCTGAGAAAAAGTGTTCGGAAAGAAAGAAAGAAAGAAAGAATAATAGGAAAACTGGCAAAAGCAATAGACTCCAGATTTTCATCTGGAGTCTAATTAAAGATCCACAATTATCTCTGCAGTTTGCTTTGATCTGCTGTGTTCAGACAAAGTAATCTCTTTTTGCGTCATTGGATTTCCTGTCTAAAGCATCTAAAAATTGGACAAGGAATCTAAAAATGTGTTTGTAGAGCTAATTATGACAAAGTGCATTTTATCAATCTCTTGGGGACATGTGAAACATGAGGCAGTTTATCTTATGTCAACATCTCTCCCAATATGGGATGGTGTCCAATAATCAACTGTTGTAGACTTACAAACTTAGTTGGTTGGGGAGGAGGTAAATGATGGTTTCATTAAGCGAATGGTGTTAATTCTTTGAATATTCAAGTGAAAGTCAAATCAACATTTTAAATTTCTGAAACTGTAGCAAAATTACCTTCATTGTTCTATGACTGATGATCGATAATTAGACACCATCCCGAACATAACAAGATAACGGCAACACCAAGGCAAATCCATTGTATACCTTATTTAGAGGCAGAAATGACTGCCAGCAATCATTTCTCAAATTGCCCTCTATACTAGATAGATTGCAAAAAGATAATGGTTCATTCTTCTATGCAATTACATATAAAACATCAAAGGATTAGATGGACAGACACACAGATAGAAGTGTTTTCTCTATCTCCATAATCAACATTCAATTGTATAAACAACAAATTTAAATCCTTTCTTATGGAGAAGATGTGCCAAAGGGGAGTATGCTATATGCTATGTGGTCCATAATAGATACATCACTGTTAAAACACATGCACATTGTCTATTCAAATATGCCTTAAAGCAATGCACAATCCACAAAAATTATTTATATGTGTTTCAACAATAATGTCCAACACAAGAGTCATATTATTGATCAAATATCAATGATATCCCAAAGGAGAATCCTCAACTTCAAATTCTCCCTGAATCCTCAACTTATACCTCAGCCAGAGTCAGCTAACCTTACAAGTACTTATATAAAGTATTTTACATGAAGTTACCAGGATTCTTTGAACAAATGCCATCTTTACATCTAGTGGAAACAATATTGCAGTCACCACATTTCTCTCATTCAAGCCTCTGAGAACCAATGCCACCTTTTCTTTAAGGAACCAACTACAGTGTAGATTCAGTCATATTAATGAAATAAAATACAATTAACTCAAACTGGTTATTTGCTACAAGAGAGTTAGTTCTGATGATCGATCCAACTAAAGCCAAATAAAAGCTCAATATGATGCACTGGATCAAGATACAGTTAGTACAACTGGGGTAAACAGACACTTGCTCAGAGCATATTGGATATACTTTTTTATATTTGTTTTCCTCTGAATATACAGAGTTACTCAGCAACATCCAATACATCATGGTAATGAACTACAGATGTAGTTCCTGGTAATATGTAGTAATATGAAGGAACACAAAGAAATAATTGACTATTATTACAGCTTATAATAACTTCATTGTAAAATCTGACTGCACAGGTTCAGACCTGGGGTTAATAATGAAATGAGAATATATTGGAGCCAGAGGTGTGCAATTCACCAATTGTTTGAATCTTCAGAGGTAACCTGTATTAACTATCTACCTATGATGAATCCATAAAAGTAAAGAGAAAGTTTTTAATTTATTTGTTGCATATATCTTATATTTACAGTAAAACCTGTGTACAGTGAACATCTCAGCTATGGAGCAAAACAAGTCTTCGTGGTAGGTGAGTGTCCACTACAGAGAGGCAATTTTATACAGAAGTGGATGGAGTATGTGCTGGGAAAGGGTTTCACTGGACAAAGGTATTCACTATGGAGAGGTTCACTAAGATGGGTTTACTGTATTACACCTTATCTTTACAAACCCTCTTTTTCATTAAAACAGAGGTTTGGACAAACTGAATATAATTCCATACTTACAAATGGTGAGTTTAGTGTCTTGATAAGCTTCTGCGACATATCCAGAGGTGATTTGGATCGTGAATTGATAGGCGTATTAGGCAGACTCTGGCCCAGCCTATAGCTGGGTAGATCTGCATCTGTGAACATCACAGCTTTCTGATGGACCACCTCACCACTGGAAATACATGTAATTAAATAATAAATATATCATTTTTTCAGAATCATATTTTTGTTAAATTGAGAAATCAGTTTTGAAAATGATGTAATTTATTTTTTTATTGAGCATCATCTGGTCATGAGAATATACGGCAAAACCTGCCTAATCTGAACGCCTCTGGGACCAGTTAAAATGTTTGGATTAGCAGATGTTCACATCTCAAGGTTTTATAATGTGAATCAATGGGAGGTAACAAATTTAAAATCAAGGAAAAGTGTTCACATTGAGAGGTTTTATAATGTGAATCAATGGGAGGTAACAAATTTAAAAACAAGGAAGTGTTCACATTGAGAGGTTTTTGGATTAGATAGGTGTTTGGATATACAGGTGTCATGGTAGTGAAAAACCATGCATTTTAACTTTTAACAATTTTTTAACTAACATTTGTGTAAAGAACACAGAGACTCCATTTAAGAAACATTAGAATACCTGTTATTAGTTGTTACATGTTACTAACGCCATGTGTTTTCAATGAGAAATATACTTTTATACTTATTATTTCAAACATATTTTAAAATTGAATTCCTTACCAGGGTTCTCACCAGAAAATATTTAGACCTTGGATTTTCTATGGCATCGCGACTACCCCTCCCCCATGTGAGATCAGAGATTCTCTATCAGTATACTTTTCATAATACTTATGAAGAGTATCTGCCTAATTTAATCACAATATAATACATATTTCAAAAAGATATCTGACTTTAATCCATGTTTTTATGTATTTTCTCAAGAGTTTTATCACAAATAATGTGACAAGAATGTAAAATTAGACTCTGGATTTCTAAAACACCATGAGACAACAGTGGAGCACAAAAGTCTAAAAGCCTACTGAGAATCCTACCTACAGTATATAACATTATTTTGATTGTGTTTGAATTGGTTTTAAGATGGTCAAAATATGTTAAATCAGAGAAAAGTATATAGATGTCCGATGTAATTTGCATATTCATTTTGATTTAACTTAAAAACTAATAAAAAGACCAGTAGCATGTTTTCTATTAAACGCATACTTCCTCCTGCAAGGTCGAAGGTGTACTGAAAATACACATACCTGTTATAAATACCTTGTGTTTTACATAAAGTACAAAATAAGAATATGAAATAACATCACATGTTTACTACCTGTCAACTGTACTTCTCCTCATCATAAAACCATTCCTTGTACAGAACTACATATAACATAAACTGTTTAAGTCTAAATCCGATGTGTTTTTATTTCAAATATCCCACTTGTATTTTGAGCCAAAATTCAAAGTGAAATGACATTGACCCTTTTCTATATGTGCATTTAACTGAGATAAGGCCTCTCCTGATAAATAACTGCCAAATATATTATGTTAAATAGAAAATGCACATCATCAAAGATTTAACCGTAAATAAAATATTGGATCAGCAAATCATTTTAACTTTTTATGAAGATATATAAATTCCAACATTAAGGAGATCATGAAAATATTACAATTAAAGGGAATTAAATATTATGGAGAACTACCTTAACATTGTTGGCAAATGAAAATCAAAGTTCAAAGTAATGCATGTGCTTTCTTCATGGCACAAAGCCATAATGATAAAAAATATCATATATGAATTTGTATGTATGATAAATGTTGAGAGACTGTTGGTTTTCGTGGTAATACTTTTATTTGGGATATATCTGATTTTTATGTGTTGCCCCTTACAAATTATTATTTCAGGAATAGATTTGAATTTCAGTTCAAAGGACGATTCTCGGTTTGGAGAACAGTCTCCTGGGCTAATAACTTTTTTCATGAAAAATATAGAAATATTACCCAAATTAAACTATGAATTTTCCAAAGAGGACATTTAAATCTACAAGATGTAAAAATAACAAATTGGTCTGAAGCAGGGATAACGCTCAATCAGACCGATTCAATAAAATACAAGTCTCGATTTGGGGAAAGAAGTTCATCAGTGTACTGCGCTAATATTTTTTTGCGAAAAATATAGAAATATTACCCAAATTAAATCATGACTATTCAAAAGAAGACATTCAAATCTATATTATGTAAAAAAATAAAATTCTTCCGAAGCAGGGATAATGCTCATTTAGATTGATGAACTTCGTTCTCCAAACCGAGAATCGTCCTTTGTAATATTTTTTTCATGAATTATCTTCATAGAAAACTATATTATAAAGTCAAATCAATGTATAAAGCAAGAGATGCATGGGCCATGGTCCCACATTGATATTGCATGGCAATATCCGTTAAACATTTATTCATTCATCCTTTAAAACATAATTACAAGGCAACATTAGGGGTAGGATAGGACAAAAAAACATAAATGGGACATAAGGATAGACAAGCCTTTAATACTCAATAATTTCAGAATGTAATAGAATTTAATCAGATAGTAAAACAACAATAATGATGTCTAATCTGAATGTCACTTGAACTAGCAAAAATTATCCCGATAGCCAGGTCAGGGGTTTTTAACATGAAAGTCTGGGAGATTGAAAAAATGGGACTGAAAAAGTGTGAACATTGACAGGTATATAGCAGGCAGTATCAAAAGAATCTACAAATTGATTTCTGACTACTGAATCATGTTGGCCTATATAATATAGCCTGCTATTTAAGCCCAAGAACATACTTGAAGCTGTTCCATCAGTCTAAGGGGCTGAAGTGAGCATCAAATTATACTTTCAATCAAGTAATGCAACTCAAAACTACTTATTGACTTGAAGTATTGGTGATCAATAGAGTGATCATGGATTTACTTTGACTCATTGAGAATGCTTACATATGCCAGATTACAAGTTTAGTAGTTCCCTCTCTCAAATTGCAAAACCAGAACAACGGCAACGCCAAAGCGTAGCGAATCCCATCGAACAGAAATGGCTGGCATTTTTACAAACGAATAGCAAATATCATAAAACAACACACCAGAAAGGCCACCATTTTCAAAATGGTTGCTCACTAGCCAAGTTGTCATCAGAAGAAATAATATGCTTTTCAGTAGCCACCTCTAAAATTTTTGAAAAATCGCACACGTATTTGTAAAATAACACACATAAAAATGGTGGCCATTTTTCAAAATGGCCGACTACTCCCCAAAGTTTTATTAGACAATGTTCCATGCTTAAAGTATTCACATATCAAATATGAACAAAATTGCTCCACTACTTTTCGAGTTATAGTAAATACGTTAAAATGGCGGCCATTTTTCAAGAAATTTTCAAAATGGCCGCCTTCTACCAAAAGTGTCATAGGACAGTGTGCCATGCTTATAGTATTCACATACCAAATATGAACAAAATCGCTCCACTACTTTTCGAGTTATAGTAAAATACGTTAAAATGGCGGCCATTTTTCAATTTTTTTTTTCAAAATGGCCGCCTTCTACCAAAAGTGTCTTTAGACAGTGTACAATGCTTATAGTATTCACATACCAAATATGAACAAAATCGCTCAACTATTTTTTGAGTTATAGCAAAAATCGTAAAATGACGAGTAAAGGCCGCCATTTTTCAAGATGGCTGCCATGTGCTTCTTTAATATCTACATTTGTAGCATTATTAATGTCCTTTATAATTTTTTTACATTTAAAACATATTGATATAACAGTTTTACATATTGCACCTAAATTACTGTAAAATCGGCACTAAAATGGCCGCCATTTTGAAATGAGCGGCCATTTTGAAAATCGGCTTTCAAGCAGAACTTCTACCCCCATAAGGTATATGTGTACAAAATATGAACAAAATCGGGCCAACGGTATTTGAGTTATTGCCCGGACGGACGGACAGACGGACGGACGTACGTACGTACGTACGGACGTACGTACGTACGTACGGACGGACGGACGGACGGACGGAGGCGTTCCCTATATCCCTCCGAACTTCGTTCGATGGGATAACAAAGGGCTAATGAGTAAAAGTTACATCAAGAATATGGAGAATAACATTGAGGAAAAGTACAATGTTCAAATTGTCTAAAATGTTATAATTTAATTTAAAACAAACAAAACATGTTTTAGATTTTACCCCATCCCTCCAAACATATCTCATTACTTTTGTGGGCATATATAAGGGTTATGTACTGGGAGGTTTTGGATAAAGGGTATATCCTGAGGGATATATTTATTTATCCCATACTTGGACGTGTTACGGGTACATAAAGCCGGTTTGTAAAAACTTATATTTTCATCAGCGGGTAGATATAGTATATCTGCCCGCTACGTCATAATCGCTGTTCCCGTATTGGTCCTTTTTTTGTAACGTTCACATACGTCCCGCTCCGAGCGGGCAGATATAGTATATCTGCCCGCTACGTCATAATCGCTGTTCCCGTATTGGTCCTTTTTTTGTAACGTTCACATACTGTAAACGACAATGGAGAAAAACACAGACAATCGCGATCTGTTATATGCTTTAAAGAAGGGAAGGAGCAGTATGCCCCGTTAATAATCAAAGATTTGAACAGGAAAATCCGGCTACGGACAAAAATACAAAACTGGACATGAATATTTTAAAATAATTCCACGGTTTGTTGCTAAGTTTCTGAACTTTGGCCAATTGAACAATGTGATTGGAATGGGATAAACAGATCATCCTATAGTCGGTTCAGGATATTTGGATTATCCCTTGGCCAATATAACATATCTTCCCTCGGGACCTACGGCCCTCGGGCAGATATATTATATTGGCCTCGGGATAATCCCAATATCCTGAACCTCATATAGGATAATCTCTATTTATCCTACACTTAGTGTACTAAATGTATAATAACATTAAAAAATAAATTTGATATTTCTTGGCAAAATGAATATCCGGAGGATATCGTAACGATATACTCCGGGCGGAGGATATTGTGACGATATACTCCGGAAACCCCAATATGCGGAGGATATTGTGACGATATACTCCGCTTGTTGATTTGGCATGGAATTTATTTTGCAATGATATTATGCATTTAGTACACTCCTTGTAAGTGTAGGATAATAAGAACATCCTATGATTTTTTCAGAATATCATTTTAATCTACTCGGTGATATTGATATATGCACTCGTTCACCCAAGGGACCAAGGGGAGATATAAATATTTCCCGAGGGATAAACCCTATATCCAAAACAGACCGTACATAACTGGTGTATCTCATACTTGAGTGGGTTTGGGGTAGATTCATCTTTACTGACCAAGAAATCTTTGAATATTTTGATATTAAGTCGAGTTTTTTTGAAGTGTTTTCATTTTCAGTGGTTGTGAGAAATTCTTCAACATCTATTTGATTTTCGAATCTGCAGTTAGTTTCTGCTTCGTTATTATTCAAATGAGTGTCATTTTCATGTATATTATCCATGTTTTAATCGAATTTCAGTGTCTTTCCAAATATTTATTTCTAATTTTTTCGTCTGGAGAAATCCCACAATGCATCATTATTACACTGCACGAAAAAAGAATTATATTGAAAAAATTCCCGGGAGCAGGATGGATATATTACATCTGCCCGTATCTGGACTGGAGCGGGACATATAGAATATATCCTGCCGGCTCCTCAGATACGATATATATTCCCAGGTGATATCTACCCCAAACCCACTCAAGTATGAGATACATTAGTATAACATTATCTAATTCCCTTGCTAGATATCCTTACTATATAGTTTATGAGAGGATCTCTATTTTGTTAATTCCTGATTTATTTTGAAGCATTGGTGGGGTACTGGCATCAGTCCAGCATTTGTTTTAGTAAAAAAACCTGTAACTTATTAATAACAAACAAATGAACCCAAATTACATGTTTATTGATGCGCTAAGCTTGATCAGCAAGAATATTGATTCTCTTGGTGACAAGACCTCCATTAAACAACATAACTACCTGCATTTATATTGTTGTTATGGTAACAAGCCCCAGACAAGTTGCTATTGGGGATTAGCCAAATAATGTTACTTATACAATTAGGCCATTATTTTCCTTAATTTTAAATGAACAAAATATACTTTAAATCATTAATTGTTACTGTTATTAGGGGCAATGACCAGTATTCAAGGAGAAAATCAAGGGATAAAAATATATTTTCATTCGAATATTTGGAACAAAGGTAGTGGTGGTCACCTTCCTATCCTGTTGCAAAGTTTTTCATGAATAAGACATTTTGGGGAAACAATGACACCCCTCATGAACAACTATATCGATGAGCAGAAAGATGAGAGACAACCAAGTTAAAATTAATAACACCAACAATTAGCACATTTAATTGATGTTTATCTTTTATAG